CACAATGCACAGTCAAGGGGCAGCTAGAGTAACTGGTATCAATGGTGTATATCTTTAGAGATTAGTTAAATCAAGTTACACATGACAAGCAGAATCAACACCTCAGTGAGTCTCGTACTTTGCTCTGTCCATTTTCAGAAAACTTGCTAAACATGAAAAGAGCTCTCTAAGAGACCAGCATTAGCAGTTAAAGGAGAGAGCAACAGGATGAGAAAACTATAATCTGCTGTGACAGTTAGCAGAAAGCCAACCCAGGAAATAATAATAAAAATAATAGACTACCTGCAAAGCATTTAGCTGTGGCAAATTACACATCCACTGGATCACTAAGCAAGAAGCTCAAGGAGAAAATGTTCAGTGTATTCAGTGTATCACTCCAACAGTCGATTTTTTTTTTAATGGAAAGACATTACTCTTAAAAAACATTGAAAACAAAGTTGAGGTGTGGTGGGATGCCTTGCTCATTTTGGCAATGCAGTACAACAAGTGCAAATGCAAAGCAATCATGCAGCCAGCTAATGTTTAACCAGGTAGCCAGCAAGCGGCTAAAACCTTCTTCTGCTCACGAAGGTCCTTACAACAGCGACAGTTCCTTACACTATGTTATTACCAGTTTCTTCATGAAGCAAATGCTAAAGGAACAGGCTTTAGAAAGATATAGGTCTCTTCTAAAATTAGCTGCAGATTAGGTAAGTGGTTAGTTTTGGTTGAATGGGTCCAATAATGATGTCTTCTTTTCCTCCTTTGGAAAAAAAAAACTCCCTAAAACTTGTTCCCTGCAGAGACAGAGCCATTTCTCGTCCCTTTGCTATATTGAACCGGTCAATACACTTAACAGTCATGCATTTGCTCTGTCACATGAGCCTGTCTGTCTGAGGGATAGACCTAGCTTTATGGAAGTTTAAAATGCATTGCTTCAGGCACTACTATTGGGCATCTCATTTGAAAGAAGAGTGTGAAACAGGGAGCGCCCCTGACAGCCTGACACCCTGAGATGAGAGAAAGGCAAGGATACGTAGAGGTGAAACTGCTCCAGGAGTGAGACCTGTTGTCCACCTCCATCCTGTTTAGGCTGTCCCGGCTTCTGTTATGGGATCTCCCTTTGGGGCCCTTTGGAGGTGTTCTTACCACAACTGAGGAGACAGTGGGGAAGTCTCAGAACCCGCTGGGACATTTGCTCCTCTCAGCTGGTGTGGAAACAAGTGAGGGTCCCCAATTGGCTGAATAGATGGATTGACATCTGTACCGGACCGCTCGTTAAGAAATTATACATCATACTCATAAAAGCATGCATAAAATACGTAAAAGGGGACTTTACAGAGTAATTATCCTTTCACCATTTATATCTACTACAATATCCCCACTTGCAACTTGACTAAGACTGAATGTACTAGTTTGCATCTGTTTTCCCCTCTAGTGTGCAACCTGTTCATTCTGATGCAAAGCATGTTGGCCCCAAATCACAGAAGTATCCACCTTCTGCTTATGAAATTCACTTTTCTTGATCTGTAGTGATTTCATTTTTAATTTCTAGAAAGTGGAATAGGAAATTTTTATGCATGACAAATTAGAAAACTGGCAAATCTGCATAATGTTAACCACAATGTGAAGAGTGCATGCAGTAATACAGGTCCTGTGTGTTGTTACCATATTACAAAAAATGTCCAGCCTGTATAAAGTGTCAAATAGTTATTATGGCGATTGCAGTAAGGACAGTTTTATTAAATGCCACATGTCTGAGTTACTTAGATGCAGGAGGGCAAGGAAGGGAGCGAAAGGAGTAAACATAAAAGAAGAAAACGCCATGCTGTATCAACTCTGGGGTGTTTGGGCCACACATCAGCTCCAGAGGTGGGTGTCTGCATTTTCAAGGAATGGGATTTGCTTCAAGCACACCACACTGCCTATAAGTTAGAGGATTATCCCAGTCCAGGCTGTGGATACTGAGTGAGGTGTTGGGCAAGTGTATGGGTGCTTGTGAGAGAGTGAATGTCTGAGTGTGGGTGAGAGATGTGGAGAGAGGCTGAGCCTGTATACCGTCTCAGAGCGTGTAAACAACCTTGTTTGCTGCACAGCGCCTCAGGGTGTGAAAGTCTGAGGGAGAGGCGGCTTACTCCGAGTAGCTTCAGTTATGCTCACATGTAGCTTCCTGAATTCAACATGCCCTCGAGGCTTTATAGGCTTCCTGTCAGCATCAGTCACATATTTGTTAACCTATTTCTAAGAAAGGTATTTAAATACACTGTAGATATATTCTATTGTGAAATGCAGATTTTGTTGAAAAGATATAAATGTGCAGTTCAAATCAGACCGTATCAATAGCACAGTTTTCATGTGGTGGCCAGAAATGTATTCCAAGTTTTCTGCTTCTACCCTGCATTGCTATATTACTTTTTTTCTTCTTCTTCCTTTTTTTCCACTGATTTCATTCAATTATTTCTCAGCAAATTTGCTTAATACTTTGCATTATAGTGAGGCTCATTGTCTTCTTCTCTTAATAGGCACAATACAGTCTGGTGCATTCAGAGAAAAATAAAAAATATAGCACCATCTGGTGGTGGTCAGCAGTAATCCATTTATCAGAGTAATTAAATGTAATGGGACATTTCCCTGCAGCCAGTCATTATGCAGTATTACCAAGAAATATAACAGTATAATGAAAGCTACACTGGAATAGTTTATCTTTTTAATTTCATCATAGTCGCCGGTCAACTCTACACAATTGACAGTTTGCTGAGTACTTATGCAGCGCTCCAGGACATATGATTAAACACATGACCTTTATATAACCATAGGGTCATTGTTAAACTCATAAAATATTGGCTGCCATTTTCTCCCATTTCCATGTTCTTACTTGTGAATGCAAGGTTGAAACATAGAAATGTATTTGTCTGACCTTAAATCTTAAATAATTAATAGTGGAATTTTCTTATGTCATGACAATCAAGGTATTTAAGATGGAAATTAACCCGCAAATCAATAGAAATCCAAACAAGGGGGGCAAAACAATTGTTATCTCTGTATTTCTTTCATTTTAATCAACAACAATAGTTGAATAAAATACAATAAAGATTGTCAAGAGACATCAGTCACCTTTTCTCCATCTTCTTCTGTGTAGGAAGTTATTTCTGTTGAAGATTATGGAACAAAGCTGCGTCCTTGTTTCCGTTCACCTTCCAGTCAATATTTACATCAGCTCAGCTCGCATTATTCCCTTTTCTTCCTCCAGTCTCATTTTCTCTGCACTGAAATAGTGGCTGTTTTAAATGAGGTATGGTAAGTTCAAGATGAAACCTGTAAATGTATGTATACTGTCAACATCCATGGGGGGTGAAGAGGCAATTCAAATGATATTTGAATTACAAAAAATGGCAGCAGACCATCAAGAGGTAATGTTATCTCATTGGTTACTGTCTACGTGAGGCTCTTGAATTGCTTTCCTTTTAGTCGTAGTTTCTGTACTTGTTTAGAGATTTCAATTAAAATTTTTCGTCATCAGGTTAGGTTACAACTTAACCAACACCACTAACAATTACCATCCTTCATTAAAGTCAACAGGGTTGTTGGTTTATCGATCTGTTTCTTTACTCTCATACAGAACATATGACATTGTCATTCCTTTTTATAGAACGGAACTGTGAAGACTAGTTTTATCCACAGATAACTCACTTAAACGTGCAATTTTGCACAAAAGAACAGCCCCTTGGCCTCCTGTGTGTGTGCTTTTATCCTGCAAGGCCAAATGGTTCCATGGTCATATTTGGAGATGAAGGCTGTCCATAAACATGCATTGTGTGCCTTGGCTCCAGTCCTGAAAACATGATTGAATTTGTATGTAAAAAGGAAGACTTGAATCCTCAGGAAAAAGCCGTCAGTAGAGAAAAACACCATTATTTTCATCATTTCGCCCAACAATTAAGGTTATATGTGACTCATAATATAAATGTAGGATGACGTTTTCAATTCTTTAAGCTCATTGTGTTTCGAGTCAGTCATAAGTCAAGCTCTGCTGAATCGGATGAAAGTCATAATAAGACAGAATTTTCTGCATCATTTTAGGATTTGAATAAACATGATTTCACAAGAAAGAACAGGTGCCACGTTCAATGTTTAGCAACTAGTCTGTAAGAAAAATTAAGATGACATGAGGAAACACATTCAAAATACCCAGTGGTAGCATAACAACAAGTACTTGAGTATTTTCTTCTTGTATGGGACTTTATACTTGTTTGCTACATTTCAGATTAAAGTATTAGACTTTTTTTCTCAATTACATTGAATCAACAGCTGCAGTTAGTTGCATCCTATGATGACCTCATAATATACAGTGCATGGCTATAGGTTCATCGAGCCAACAGTATATGAGCATGCTTAAACGCTGATGCATCACTATTAATAGAAATAATCAAATAATATAATTCAGGCATTTGGAATTCTGAGCATTGGAATGTTTCTGTATGAGTACTTAAAATACTCAGTACATTTGTACATACAGTATGTTCAACTGTACATATCCACTGGTTGGGTTGAATAGTAACTTTGAAGTGAGTGATGTTCTCTGTTGGTAATGTTATGAGAAGTCTTTGTACAATGCCAGAGCTAATGTAAAAGTGTCAAATCAAATCAGGAACAAACTTGAGAGAAGCTCTCACCTACTGTAGTGGCAGTACCTCATCAGTTACAGCAGTTGTTGCAGCGATTGTGTTTTTTTTACTATACCTGCAGCATGCTGAACAATATTTCTATCAAACCTGCAGGCATTTACAGCTTAAACACAGTATAATCTTTATTGTTCCTACTTTTTCAGTTCCATTCTGCGGTGTGTCATATTTCTGCCTCTTTCTCTTTATCCTGTGTCAGCGTTCTGCTGTGATACCACTTGTCCTGAGAGATTCTGGGTATCCTGGGAGTTTGTTTTTTTTCCAAAACTACATTATGCTCGTGGTTGACCCACTACAATGCCACAAGGCTGTAACAAAGACACCAAAAAACACAAAGAAAAAGGTTTGTCATATTCACTTTATTAAGATAATTCCAGACAAAAAGATAAAAAAAAAAGATATTTCTTCAGAAACAATATAAGAATACATGACATCAGTTGAATACTATCTCAACAAAAGGACCCATTTTAAATGGTAAAAGGCTGCCCCGCTCTAGCACAAAAATAACACTGCATTTTATACTTTATAAAATCAAAGCAGACATTCTGACGTGTTGTTCCGGCTTCAGATTTTTCGGTAAGCATTCAGAATTTGGACACTGTTAAGAGACTAGAGGAAGAATCAGCTTATATAAATGTAGTCATAGTTTCTATTCTACACCTACATGTAGACACATGTACTCACACACACACACACACACACACACACACACACACACACACACACAGAAATGCAGTGCATATACTATGTATATGCACACACAGACACACATATATTGTTAAATGTGCAGAGTGTCTGCGGAGGAGGAGGAAGTGGTCAGAGGTAACAAATGGAATTGCAGGGTTAACAAGTGAATTAACTGACTGATTTTACCGTCGGTGTGAGACAATCACTGGGACTGGTTTAACACAGGCATACATGTGTTAGAAAAAAAGACGAAGAATGCGGCATTATTTTAAAATAAAATGGAAAAAGTTCTCACTATTTGCTGCATTTTCACTTTCTTAAGTTTGAATCTTCTCTAAAACCTGTCAGAGTGTTGCATGTTTAACTGGGATGCTACTTTGTGGTGAGACATTCTGTCTTTCAGAATTCACAAAGCTCTTCCCCATCACACCCACAGCAGACAGAACGATGAACTCAATACAATGTCAGGATGTCAGTGTCAGCAGAGATATGCTGTGTTTTGGGATTGCAGGGGAATCTTACAGTGAGGGCTAAAGTCAAACAGGGGTAAAACCAACAAAACCAAAATGTACTGCCTGTGACATGTGATGTGACACGTCTGTGACTACGCTGTAATCAAAAACTCAAATCTATATGAGAGTACAAGAAACAAAAGATTACAATACAAAAAAATCTTGTGCATTTGATAAGTGCCTTGATTAGAAATTGTCCCAGTTCTTCAAATACATGAAAGAACGAAGCAGGTTAAGAAAATGATTCAAAGTCAGAATATCATACAACACTTACAAAAAAACATAGTAAAAAAAAAAAAAAGATACATATAGACATTACATACAAGTTAACCTCATCATATTGCACAAATACTCAAGTGGCAATTTGTACTGGCCCTCTTTGTTGTGTCTCTACACAAATTCAAACAATGAGGATACATCTTACAAACGTAGTTGGTTTGAAAAACACAGAACAAATTTTGAGATTAGGTTTGAAGTTGAATTAATTATTTTAGCAATCCAAATAAGAAGGTGAGTAACTATTTGGGATGTGAAAATACATGCATCACCAAAAGTAAATCAGTGTATCAAATGCATATAAAGAAAAGTTTTAACATCACAACTGTGGTGCTTGAGTTGAGGCTGGTTACTGTAGATTTTGAAATGTTGCCTGCTTACGTACAATACTTGACACGTGACGGAAATATTTTCTTTTTTTAAAGAGGTAAAAGAGTGGCATTAAAAAATATAAAATACATTTACATCTGTACACTGAAAATAGTGGGTTCACGGATCAACCGTCACTCTACAGTTGTAGCCCTCGTGGAAGCCCCCCATAATGCATCTGTGCAGCTTCTGTCTAGCATTAGCACTGCAGTGGCTGATGCAGCTGATCAAATGTATTAAGCTGAAGTTTATCGTTTTAACTAATCATTTAAAGTCGTTTCTCTCCAACGTCGGTTTCCATATCGTTACAAATGATCTGTGATAAGATGAAAATAAAGCTAGATTTGGAGTTTTAAACTAGTCTTCATAGGGTTAAAGCACAATTTACTTTCTTATGTATTGTTGCAGACAAAACATCTTAAATTTGGTATTATACTATTGTTACTAGTGATTATACTATTGAGTCCAAACTTAAGACTTATACAGGTAGTTTATGTTTAAAGGTTAAAGAAAAAGTGGAGGGAGCTTTTTTTCAGTCAGCACATCTTTTGAGTTTGCCAGGTTTCATCTGCGTTCAGCTTTTAGGGAACAAGGTTTGCCAATATACCATGATTATTCATTTAAAACACTCAGTTAACTTAAACTGCAAAGATTTAATTTCTCTCCGCATGGGAAATGCTAATTAAATATCAAATTCATTATATAATATAATATAAGCCTATTTTCTTTTTCTTTTTTTGGTACCTATGTTTTTCTAGGAGTTTGGTCACATCGAGGTGGCAACTCTTCAACCTGTAGCAATGATGGCTTGTTTGTCAAAGCGGAAAGCTCTGAATGCATTGGTGATCCGTAACATCCATTAGAGGTCTAAAAATGCTTCCCCTTCACAAGACAGAGCAGAGCATTCATGGCTGGCTACATATTGAATGAAAAAACATTGAATATGAGCAAAGCAGGGTGGACAGTTTTTGTCCAGTTTAATGTCAAGTCCTTATCTTTAAATAAAGGAAGAGTAATGGTTTATAAACCATTAAACAGCTGCATCTTGGTGTACAGGGTGATAATTAAGTCAGCCTGAAAACACTTAATTGCGATTCATAAAGCTCTCTTTATGTATGTGATCGTGTTTGTTACTAAAACCATGGATTTTATTTTTGCAACAAAAATAAAGTCAGGCGGTGGTGATGGACATGGATATTGTGTAAAGGAAAAGTACTGGAATTCAACCTCCAGACAGACTATTTTAGGGAAACTCCACCCTGTGGGCGTAGCTGTGTGAGTGGCGCTGAAGTCCATATATGAGTGTGAGGCCTGAAAACCGATGTGAAGGAGTTTTGGTGCTGGCCCCTCCTCATGGGCACATTACTCAGCTCTGAATACAGTCATACAACTCTGCATGTGCTACTGTACATTACAAGAGTGATTATTTCTGAGCTCACATGAATAAAAGCCCTTTTCTTAATGGTTCATGATTTATTGATACCTGTGGGCCATAAACATGATCTTAGATTGGTTTTATTGGGTAATTAGAAAATCAAATAAGCACTGGCAAAGAAATCTTTTGATCTGGAGGCCCTGATACAGCTATTGGATAGCACAAAAAGCTAAAGTCAGCTATTTGCCTAAAGTGACACAGAATTTTAAAAAAATTAAAAAGGCAGAAAAATAAGATCAATTCACCAGAGAAATCTAGTGTCAAGTTGAAACTTAGCTCCAGACTTCTAAATAATAGGAGGTAGCTGTTAACCGTTGACCTCGAACTCCAATTAAGAACAAATACCCCTCGAAGTGAGCATTTCATTGACTGGTTTGAGATCCTAACATGTTGAGCTTTTCAGTCCCCCAGGTGTTGTTGATAACTTTTTGGACTGAGCCGAAAGCCCTTCGTATTTTTGTAGCTTAGATGTGAATGCAAAACAGCTTTTCATCTGTTTTTCAAAGTCAATCTTTTGACTGGTTTGTCTCCTGTCTAACTATTATTGTGCTGCCATCAAACGAGCACAATTCATTGAAAGGAATGCAGTGAATTTCCTGTTAGCTCTTGGGGGATATGGTTTGTTTTTCCTGTTGCTGGGAGCCAATTTATTTTTTTTCTCTTGCCCTCTTTAACTTCCTGTCTAGGAGCTTGACTTTACAGGGAGGCTACAGAGGTGAGCGTCAGAAGCCATTGATTAGACTTCTGTTATCCGTCACCCAGAATCCCCCCCCCCACACCCTCCCACCCACCATTACAAACTCCCAGATCACATCCATTTCAGGCTTGGTGTGTCAAAGACGGTGGTTGTGCTTTTTTAATGAGAATTTAAAGGGGGGCAGGGCGGGGAAGAACGCTTTTTAAGCATTATTAAAGAAAACAAAAGCACAAAACCCATATAGGTTACTTTGAAGGGAGATGGTGGCCCTACTGGTGGTGGAGATTACCATAATCTCATGCCATGCTGCTGGTCGGTGTGCTTTGGGTGCTTCCAATGCTAGCGTTGGCGCTGCTGTTCTCAGAGGGGGAAGGGTTGGTAGAAACTGGTTGTCGTTTTGCTCCTGAGCAAGGACATCCTTAAGAAACATGAGGATAAAAAAAATCAGATAAGAACATGATAACAAAGAAAGACACTGATGAAAATAAAAAATAAAAAATAATCTTACCAGGAAGATTTGCTGCAGTTGACCTCATGTCCAGTCCAGTTGGGTATCCTGAATTAAACACAATGAGACCATTTCAAATACAGAAAAAATATGAATACAGATCAATATTCAACGGTAGACACTTCATTGTTAGTCATACATTTACCTGTTTTAATTTTGATAAACCACAGTGCTCCAATAAGTAAAACTCCAATCAGGAACCCTCCAAATGCAATGCCCAGAACACCAGGTAGGCCAAAATCAAAGCATGGTGGGGCTGAAACATACACATAAAAGAACAATGTATGCAAGCTTCAGTTAAACAACAGCAAACAGCCACAACCACAAGTCAAAACTGATTGTTACTGCTAATGACAACACACTATGCAAATAAATTTGCAGAGACTCATGCTTGTCAATCCCACAGAGGTGAGAGGTAATATGCTATATTTCAAATATTGAACACAGACAGAAAACCCTTGCGTTTTCTTGAAGTTCTTAACAGTAGCAGCACTAATGTCTCTAGTGAATACAATATTTTTAGGCAACTGAAACTCAAATTCAGGATGTAGAAACTTGCATGAATGAAACATTACATGTGTGTTTTCAACTGTCAAACTATATAATGACAATGGATTTTTGATGAAATAATGAACGAGACGACCAAATGTTCACTGTGATCAACAGTTTTACATCTCTACAGGTTGATTTTCTCACTTGCACAAGCTGAAACCAACATATGCTAGTTAATTTAAAGATTTATGGTAGAGATTCTAAAAATATGTGATTTGTACAAGCTTCCCACCTCTCTCTTAGATGAGGTGACACAAACAAGCAAAGCCCATGCAGGACATGTTAACACTCATTAATTTTGCAGGGTGAACTCACCCAGAAAAATTTATTTGTAGTCTATCATTTCCTCCGAACCAATTTAATGATACAATTTTCAATTTACAATCAAGTTTGGCATTGGTGTTGTTCTTTGAGCTAGCTGAGTGTTGGCTTACCCTACACAACGTGCTTCTCTGCTAACAAACTTAATAGAAAACATAAAACCTGGAGCCAGCAGCAATAAAGAAATCACTTTCTCTGAAAGAGTGAGAGAACAGGCAAACACTAAAACTTGATCAAGCCTCTGACATACAATACTGAGTGCAGACATACTGTATTAGTCTGGCAAGGCCATCCCACAGTTTTGCTTCATTCATTGTGGTCCGGCAAGGGTATGAACAGATCACCTTGAGACAGATGTCATTTCAAGAGGGCTCTACAATAGATCATTGACAGTTTTCCCCTTCATTCAAACATCACCTCAAACTGTTCCGACATCTGTTTGTACAACTACAACTACTCACTGGGCAATTATTGATCCCTGCTTCTACTTTTCAAGCTGAGAAAAACATGCTAGATGTTCTTAAATCTTTTTCTTTTTAAAAGTCCTTGAAAAATTATTTAAAAATCAGTTTTTATACATATATAGAATAAGTTTTGGTACAGAACATAGTTTCGGAAGTTACAATTATGATCTAAACCTTAACTGCATCAGTAATTTTTGTATCTGACTGGGCTAAATTGGCTATTAAATTGTTTACAGTCTTCAATTTTGTACCAAAAATCTGAATTTGAGAGGCTATATACACAACTTTGTCTGGAACATGTAAGTAAGCGGTCCAAAGTCCCCATGCTATGTGTTGCATATCAAGAAAAACAGAGTGCAAACACTCTCCCCTTTTTCTGGTACCTGTAGAGATCCTCCCACATGTATCCACAACATTTGGAAGAAACTAATCATCACCTTTGCACGAGTTTCTCTCACCTGCCTCTGTTGCCTCCTGCCTCCTGGTGGAAAGTGCTAGGCTAAGTACTATAGTGGGCCTCATACAATACAGCTCTCCTTCCCTGTAGTACATTACAGACGGGACATGAAGGACATGAAGGACGGGAGACAGCGGGTTTGTTTCGTAGAAACGTGCCACCACTCTGTGTATCATATACATTTGAATAATTGCTGTATGTAATGCAGCTGCCTCTGCTCTGAGCCTAGATCAAATCACTTCATGCTAATATCATTTCAACATTTGAACTGAACTGTATCGACAAAATTGAATTACAAAGTGTAATATTGTACATGTAACTCCAGAGGGGTTAATTTAATTTTAAAATTAAAATTACATTAACTACTATTATGCTTATTTGATTAAACAATAGCAAATACTAGCTGATTATCATGTCACTGAATAGTGACATCTTGTGGGCATTTGAACCAACTGCATCCCAGACAGTCAACCTAGTTTGTTGATCTGTCAGTAAGGAACATTCCTTGACCCCGAATGGGCCAGAAACATCACAACAGCTTGAGCAGGCTTTCTCCTGAGACTTTTTTCTTTCTGTAATCAGTTGCTGTGTTCGTTTGTCTGAGCGTGGCTTTGACAGCAAAGCTGAATAAACAGGAGCAGGAAGCAGAAGCTCCAGTGCAGGTGGAGAGGAGGAGACACGCAGCAGGCCTGAGCTGTGACTCCCTGGAGAACTCTGTATGAAAACTAGCAAACAGGAAGGATTGCTGAATGGAGCACTCAGTCCGGCCCAGGGAAGGCTCGCGACAGAACGCAGTCTGCTAGTCCTGCTGATATAACCCTTGTTACTCTGACACTGGCTAATGAATGGAGCCACGTAAACAGACCTTCTAAACCAGCATGTTCCTTCATAACTAATTCCATTCCTGTGTTTCAGTTCCTCCACGAAAAAAAAATACATTTCTAATTAGCAAAACAGAAAAGACAAGGACAAACAGGACACAGGAAAGGATGAGTAGTTAAGTCAGCTTCCTCACCACATACGCTGCAACACTGACACACCAGCCTTTGTATTTCTCTTTAAAAAAGGAAATGGAGGATAAAGGAAGCTTAAAAAATAAACAAATCCTTTATCAGTTTTACAGAGAAGTCTGACAAACTCCAGGTGTTCCCCCATTCAATCAGTGTCTACTTTCTTCTGTCATTTTTCTGAGAAATGGAATCAGAATTTTCCTAGAAAATTAATCATCAGCCCGGAGGCTTTTTTCTTTGGAGAAAGGCATCTTTCCTTGTTTGAGTCAACTGTGTTGAATGGTCCGACAATAGCACAAGGTCCAGTGGCTGTTTGGACAGCATCGCAGTCATACCCCCTTGGAAACACAAAGGACTTCACCTCCCTCCCCTGAGAGCCATTACTTCTGATTGTGGCCACAAGGTCAGCCTGCAGGCCTTCCTAAAGGACGAGGGCCTGCCCCACAACCCCTTACTGGCTTCACTGCATATCCTGACTTCACTGCTATGACAACCGTCTGCGCTGCGTGTTTTGTGCAATGAAAGCAACAATAGGACTGAAAATTACAGCAGCAAACAGCAATGCACTGACCGAGCACCAGATTAGCATTTAAGTCCTGAAGGCAAAAACAGGTAATTTAAAAAGTTTCTGTTTTTCTTCTTCAGAGAGTTCAGAGAGTTTATTGTTAGAGAATTAAACACGCCCATGAAACATTCATCTTCATAGTAAGGCCACCATCAAGATAGCATTATGTGGACCATTTTGGAGAGTGGACCTTTCTGCGTTGTTGCGTTTGGGGCATTTTCATTAATGCGAAAATAATGAGGTTTTTTATTTTTTTTTAATAATTAATTTATTATAGTGTTGCAAATATTTCTGTTAACTGTTGTGAAATTCCTCGCTCTACTAAACTGGTAATTTATACATTATATATCATTTATATTAGAGGAAGAACTAATCAAGAATTAGATAAATCGAGGAAATTTGAACAAAATAATCTACCACATGCCCTGCTGCCTTCTGCTGTTAAATGTCAGCTTTAGTAATTGAGAATAAATCACAGTAAATATCTTTGTTTTGTCAAAAAAACATAATGAAAGAGAGGGAGACAAGGGCACTGTATGTAGACCATCATAAATATACCAGTATGAAAAAATCCTCTGATAAAACTGCTTAACTGTGGGTTAAAGTATCATCTGCTTCAAGGGAGATAATTAAGAAAAAGTATTGATCCATATTTTGGAGTTTAAACTGAACTCACTTGGTGGTTGCAGACACGGCTGAGTAACCTCCAGATTCCTCTTCACTCTTCCTCCATCTCCACATTTCTAGTGAGGTGGTAAGAACAACTTATCAACGGCAACAAGAACGCAACTTATCAAAAAACCCAAAAGGTCACAACGTCACAAGATTATAAACTGCATTTAAGCTTCAGTGTCTTGATCGTGCAACAACACATCAATACCAAATATTGTAGTTAACCAAAGGAATATTCTAACACAGGTTATGTTGTTATGTCTTATTTCTTCTTATTTACATTGCTTAAGATTTTTAAGATGAACCCCTACCTCACTGGAGCATAGTTTGACAGAACATTCCAGGTCCCAGGTGGTGGACGTCAGCTCTTGGAGCTGATCTAAGGAGAAGCTGAGTCGGGTGCTGTTGGGACAAGAATTTGGGGAGCAGGCCTCTGGGATGAAGGGCAGCTCTTTCTCAACAGGGCACAAACCCTTGGAGTGCACAATGCAGCCGATCACCTTGATGGTTAAGATAATATCGCCTAAAGCGTGCCCAGAAATCTACAGGAGACAGAGAGAGGGATAAAATAAACCGAGGCAGGAATGGAAAAAGCACAAGAATCTGTCAGATCAGCTGAGCGAGGTGAAGCATTACACGCTATAAAAAAAAAGAGTATAAAAACTATACAGAGTACAGCACTCTGAATCTTAATAGCTGTGTGTCAGAAAGACATACAGTATTGTCCGTAAGCACAGTAAAGTGATTTTGAAATGTTTGGGACGGACTAACCAATATATGTATTATATATATTAAATGCACTATATCTAGAAAGATGGTGAATGACTTCTTACCTCTGCATAAATTCTCTTGTCACTCTGGACCCTGGTGTTGGGGTCCAGGGGAGAACGGTAATCAGGGGAGGTGTACAGTTGCATCAGCAGAGGCATCTGATGAGGGGCAATATCTGTAACGACTGGTTCTGGTACTGTTTCTGGTGATGGTTCTGTAGAGAAGCATCAACACAAAATTAACTATTTACATCCATTTTATCACTGTTGATGTACTTTCTTTGTCTTAAAAAATACTATTATTATAGAAGTCATTATCCTCCTGATTTCTCTCACTGCTGGTATTGTGCAACATGCATTATGTGTGGGCAATGGCTTTTTGCCATACTCCATCTACTCTGTAGAAAATGCCTCAAAACAAATGTTTACCTTTTACTGTCCTTACCTGCAAGACTTTCATTTCTTACAAGAGCCATTACAATTGTGGAGCCCACTGGTCTGAGTTCAGTATAGCTGGTGAAAGTACTGACTTTAAACACATCTAAAGCCTTCCTCTGCACATCCTCTGCATTGTCACTGTTCATTGTATATGAAGGCGGTACTCTGTGGGCGAGGGCGGGCAGCAGGATGTCATTGTTAGACTGTAAAAAGAGAAGACGAGAAGAGTTCAGATGAATCAGTAATGATTTGGAAACAGTGTTGTACATGTACTCAATCAATAACAAGCTCATTTTACAAGATATGGGAAAACGTATGTCAGTAAATCAGCTATAACTACTGGAGACTGTGTATGTGTAAGCTTACACCAAACCGGGTGTGTTGACTGAGGATGATCCATGTGGTGCCCTGAGGACCTCGGAGGAACACCCGGATCTCCTTTGTGTCCATGCGAAGTGATACATTGCTGCAATATGTAGAATCAAAAATGACATGAGAACATTTGGCAATAAGGAAAGCGAAAACAATACACAAGATAGATGTCTTTTGAATCTTAAGGTTTACCATGTGCTGGCATTCTCTGGGATGTTTATGATGTGAAGCTCCGCTTCACCTCTGGGGATCTGCTGCTGTGGCGAGCAAGATGTGAATGGTGAAGCCAAAGTTGTTGTTTCAATCTTCATGAAGTGCTTCTCTGATGCATCTTCATTTTTAAGCACACAATGATGAGAGCCAGTATTGGTGGTTCCTGTAAAAGCACAAACATTCATTTTCTGTCAGTGTTAATTCATAGTTTGTAACACAAAATGAGATTCCAGTGGAACTTACCAGTAAAAAAAAAAAAAAAAAAAAAAAAAATTCTACATTTATTTAAGTAGACACCAGCTCCATAAAATGGACTGCCACCACTTCTGTTCTAATACCTAACTTTGGCAGTAGTGTAGTGGCTGCAATAACCAATACTTTTGTTATATTCTGTTATTTATATCAATCTAACAGGGTAGTTTCACTGAGAGCGATGCTCCTCGAGACTTCTTCCAGTAACAGAACAGACATTTTAGTTGACAGTGTTTAACTTGGTGACCAGTGCTGGGGAACCATAGTCCAGTTTGCAACAGAAGACCAGACTGCTGGGACAGACACATTAGCACCTTGCCTTTCCGTATATGGAAGCTGTTCTAGGAGCAGCCTCATGGGAGAACATTATACTCAGCCGTTGACCAAATAATGTTGATTGATTGTTTACAGCTGCACCCTGGTGCAATGCTCAAATTGCTATGCGCATTTTGTTTCATAACACTATGCTGGAAATGGGGGTGATATAAGTTTCCCACAGCACCTCGTATTGCCTCATCACAGCAACGGCCAAATACGAGAAGCAGTGGGAAATAACCAAGGGAATATCTGAGGCGTATTTGAGCATATTGTAACCACATTGAAGTCAAGCTGATCGCTGCTATACCCCCCTTTGCACAGAGACTACCAGCTTGTAGCAACTGTCTTTCAAGCCTACTGGGGGGTAGTATTTTGGGTGCAGTATCACTTCAATCTACTTCTAGTTACTACAAATCCTGACTGGCTTTTAGCCGGGCAACTAGAATTTGAGTAGCTGCCTTTACCCCGAGCTGCCTTAACACTCCTCTTTGGCACAAGCAATAGCATGACATGAATTTCAAATCACACTGAGACATTCAAGAAACCTGAGGGACATGTACATATTTTCTACTCAGCTACTTAATAAGCCTTCAACTTGGCAACACACTGTTGTGTAGTCATTGCACAGATTTTTCAAACGCCTACGACAAGGCCTACACAAGTTCGCCCAACACCCCAACACAGGCCAAGAGATACAACGAAATAGCAATGTGAGCTGTTCTTCTGCTTGAGTAATTCGAATGCCCTGGTGGGCTATGAGTAAATTAAAGCACTAGCTTAAACTGCGGATGGCTGAAAAACAAAACACAATTAAAATGGGACAAGAGGAGTATGCCTCTGACAGACAGGGATGTTAAACCATCACCTACAGTAAATCCCTATAATTGATAGACTTGGAGAAGCACAGGCAATCATAAAGAGGAGAGATTAAAACTAAATTTGTCAAAAACACTGTGAAAGCCACTGGACATAAAAGCGGCCATCACTATTCCAGCATCATTGCCGTTCACTTCTATCCTAACCCATGTCAGAGCTCCGCTTTGGCTCAAACTGCCTTAAGGTGGCTTTGTTAGGAAATAATTGTGCTTGCGTCGAGCATCCTGCTGCTACTGCTGCTGGCAAAGGCAGCCCATAATATCCTTATGTCCAGCCTTTACTCAGCCTTGAATGCTCACTTTAAATCATGGCGTATTTTGTGCCTCCATCTCCAGCATTGTTGGCCATTTGTCCATAGCTTCCCTTTCCAAATATTTTGGCATATGCAAGCTAAGTCCCCAGTTCTTTACCTTACCCAAGCTAAGGATTTAAACTGATTACATGAGATTTTGCCATATGGCAAAGCTTGTCAGTGTACAGGTATTTGTGTTTCAAACTTGCAGCATCATAGGAGGTTTACTGGGCTTTAAAATCAGTAGTAGCACTGCTTATTATTCTAGTCTTAAATTCTGTTTTCTTGCTGTTATTGCCCATGCTGTTGTTTGGCTCACTGCTGTATATGATAAAGGATTAGTAGGTACACACAGCTTTACCCTGGACATCTCTGAAATAGAAGGCAATGTTTGCCTTCTATTGTCATTAGGGGTTGCTTCCTCTGGGACAGGATTGAGATGATTTGGAGGATTTTATTCAATACCTGAAGTATACAGAGTTGCGGCAGGGTGATATATTTCAGTACACTGTATATTCCCTCATTTGTTTAAGGTGTCTTGTAGGAGAATGGTCATATAGCAGCCAGAGCGTGGCCCACACATAGAAGCTTCCAAAAATAAAACAGCATGGGGTCTGGTTCTGTATGTAATGCAGCTTTTTGGGGGCAGGTGTTGTTGTCCACTCTCTCTCAGTCGATTCTTTACATTCTCATCGTCTGATCCTACATACGGTGAGTTTTCTGGTTTAAAAGAAAAGGTTCAAAGCAACACATTTGGTTTCTTTTCATTTATTTATCTCTATGTGCACATCTGTGGTTTTAAAAAATCCGTCCATGTTGCACAATTATATCATTAAGAATCAAAGCATAACAAGTGCGCTTGCTTTGGGCTTGTTTTTCCTACAAACTGAGATGAGAACATTGGACATCAGTGTGTTGGTGAACTGCAGTAACAGAAATCTGTTCTGTGAAAACTAAAATTTAAAAATCAAAGAAGTGAGGTGGAATGTGCAGACGCTGGAAAAAAGGCTTTTTCAACACAGCGCGGTCTCATCACAGCACGGTGTTTTCTCAGTGATTTCATCAGAAAGAATTTTTATACACGCTTAAGATAAGATAATGTGAGTGATGAATTTTATCAAGAGCTCTGGGAACAACACTGCATCCATCCTTGATTACTGTACTGCAGACGCGCTGTTGAGTTATATAAGCTGGAGATGTAAGTTTTCCCGACTGTAATTACTTTGCTCTCCTCAGCACCAGAAATACTGTTTTAGACCAAACAAAGATGCAGATAGCGTATTCCAGATAAACATCATGGGTGACAAGGGTGATAAATCTGAAACACTTTTAGGCAGCCAGAAAGTCCTTTGGAAAGTTTTTGCAATGACCTGATGGAATACTATAATGCTGTCTCACATGCATCCTCATTTCATACGTATGGCATGTTAAAAATGTTGTTAATTAAATATCAGCCAGGCTGCACGAACAGTTCTCACCTGCTGCTCCTGTTGATGAGATTCTTATCAGATTTCGGACTGTGGTGAATGACGTCACACCCCCAAACTTCTGCTGTGCCCACCTGACCAACTCCTCATCTTGGGTGGGGAAGTCTTGCTTGTGGACATTGTTATGATGTTGATTACCACGCAGGTTGATTGGTGAGCTGTTGTTCAACTTTAAAAACAGAGTGAAAGTCAATGTCAATTCGTTTTTATTAAAGGCAGTTTCCCAAAAGAACACAAATCAGAATCACCTGGGGTCCTAAAAGGCACGTGTCTCTCTGTTACCCACTGCTACAATAACACAGAATTGACTGAGTAAGCTTTATATTTATTTATATTTACCTCATGTCTGCTCAACATTCTGTCATATCAAACTTGTTTGCCCATCCCTCCCATTCTCCTCTATTACCCTCCACCCAACTCTCCCTCTATTCTCCTAGCAGGGTCCTGTTAAAAAGAAATGTTTATTATGGTTAAGTGTCCACGAGCCCAGTTGCACAACCCTGTTGGAGCCAAGGTCTTTCCTTTGCTTCCTGAGTGGGGCCAGGAAATGGGACCTTTTTTAGCTTTGTGCGTCACCACAGTCGGCTGGAATCTGGCTCCATACAAGGTATAAATATATACATCTAGACACTGCTGTTTCCTCGTCTGGGCCAATGGGAAATAATGGAGTTTACATTTTGCTTTGCATGAATAATAAGGATTAGAGGAGTGAACAGGTTTCTAGACAGTTAGACATGTAAAAAAAAAAAAAAAAAAAAAAGTAGCTCAATAAATAACAATTCAATGTTCCTGTTTTATTTTGGGCTCAAACTTCAATGGATTTTAATCTACTCTGATTTGTCCAGCAGTCCAGAGGCTGAAGGGGGAAATGAAGTGCTGTACAAGTACTGCTGCATCTCTTCATAATGTAAACACTGACCCTAAAGAACAGCTCATTTTGGTGAGAGTTTTATTTTTTTTTTTCCAAGAAATCTCTTATTTGAAGTGAACCCATAAACTGAAAAAAAATGTATATAAAGTACCATATTTATTTTATGTCATGTTTTAATGTTCTTTGTGTGCTTCTATTTTAATCATTTATTTCTGAGAGTGTGATGCATACTTACTGGATTCTGACTCATCAAACTATTCAGCTTCCTTTGTCTGTGAAAATAAGTAGGGCGGTAGTGTGCTGAGTAATTTTAGAAGAAACAGTTTTTCTCATCCTGTTAGTGTTTATCAAGTGTGTGTTTAAATAATGAAAATCACTCTCCTGACCTGCCTAGTGTGTTTAACTATTTTTGTGTGTTTTGTCCTTGCGTCACAAAGTGAAAGCCAAGTAAGCCTGAGGGAGTCATCTGTCTTTCTACATGAATATTTGATTGATACGGGATCAAAAATAGCGTGGAGGGAAACGGCAGAAATGAAAAAAAAAAAAAAGGGAAACCAGTCACGACAAAACCAAGCAGACAGGGGGAGGCCTGAGAAGCAGGACGGGAAGAACAAAGGAAATAACAATGGTAATCATTTTAACGATTAGAGTGGAATTGCGTTCGTATTGGTCTCGGTGGAATCTGTGTGGAAAAATGGTTTGATATTCTGCAGACCTACAGTAAAGTTCAAGGAACTCAAGGATGTTTTGAGTGAAAACAGCATCTCTATCTGCTGCAGATTACAGAACATTCTGATGATAACTTCTTTCCCATCAGCCTGTCGTGGGATGGATGTGTGAGTTTGAGATGCCAGGATTCCTCACCTTTCACCTGATCAATAACATCAGATTCTTTCATAGTATCTTATAAGTATACACATATACATAATGTACTGAAAAAAGTGTGAAGACTCACAACTTTATGGACAAACATCATGTTGTTCTCAAGTGTTTTTCAAAACAACCCTGTGTGTACTGAGGTCAGCTGAGGGAAGCCAACAAGTGGTGTGATTGTGACACTGAGCCAAGCTGTCAGAGCTGGTGACGAACTTACTCAGATGCAGAACAGATGCTCTTCCTCTTACACTGCAATCTGCACTAAAACACTATTATCCCCCAGTGATACTGCTCATCCCATGAAAACATCCTGTGGTCCACAGACAATGTTGTCCAGGCTCTCGACAGGACATGATACAGGATGTGGTATCACTCGCTGCTGTCAGCATATCACTAACTGATGACATTCCTGTAAACATTTCAGCATCATGATTGGTCAGCTCTGATTTTATATTTCAGTTCATTATGTGTCAGTATGAAAGTACTCACACATATACTGTAGGTCATCAGCACAGTTAACATTAATTCATCTTTATTTAACTGTCAACATGAAACTATTTTTGTGTGTTGAGGCAGTTAAAAAGGGGGAGGCTTTTAAGTCTTCCAAGTGATGCATTCATGGTCAGGAGGAAAGCTCTGACATGTGAGCTGCTAAACATTCTTGTTATGAACTCAAACATAGAAGATAAACAACAAGCTAAAACTTCCCAATAGAGACAACGTCAATTTATTAGCTTCTTACGTTTAAAAATGTTACTATTTGACTGTCAAACCTCAAGAGTTGCCCCTTAACAACTTTATCAAGCAATTCAAGATAGTAAATGTTTTTAAGCACAATGATAATGTAAGTTTGTAGAAAGAAATAAAGATGATAAAATGTTCACTATGATTCTTCCTTTCTCAAGAAATCTCATTTCAGCCTCCATCCTGTACTGATATGAAGTGACACCAGTGAAGGTAAGAAAAACACTCCAATCAGGAGAACACCAACAAACTCCAGTCATTTGGATAAACATTAAACTTTGACATGGGAACCAGCAAAAGAGGATGGAAGTGCTCACTTCATGGACTGTTAAGCTTTGAAAAATGCTCAACATAATGTAACCTATTTGTAGTTGAGATACAACAGAGTCATTTAACAACTGGAGTCCAGCAGGATAAGGCTCCTTATCTGCAGCTACTGTAGTTTCAAGTCATCAGAAAGACATTTAGAATTAATCGTAAAGTTTTAAGCAATCTCATTTATTTGGAAGCATAAGTTATTTTTAATATAATTTCCTGTTTGAGACAGGCTATTCAGTTTGATGATAAAAGACTCTGACGTGTTCTAAGACGACTTTTCTATCAAAACCAAATTGAAGGACTCAGTGGTTGGTTTCATTAACAATATTTTTGTGCTCGATTCACCTTGTTAAGCTCATAACCAAAATTTAAATACAGAAATAGTTTGACACAGCACAATAACCAAGCTATGACAACCAGCGCAGCAGTTTGTCCCCATAACAGTATTATTCCTTCTATTTAATTAGACACTCAAGCAGCTGAATAAAAGTTGTTTTGTGGCCTCCTTAGATTTAATTCACAGATATAATCTGAGAACAGTGCGTAAAAGTCAGAATCTCCAATTTCATTGGAACATTAATTTTACAGCCGATGCCATCAGCCCCTCTCGTTGCTGGCCACCATAAAACTTCTCTTACAGATTTTATAGTGTGGATAATAAAAACACGCACGCAACCACACACACACACACACACACACACACACACACACAAAAACAAAACAAACTGCCTCATACAGAGCAGCCAATATGTATGGAAAAGCAGCATGGTTCACTGTTTCTCTAAACAGGCCCACAGAGCTGCACAGCTGTGGCAGTTTGACTGTATGTAAACAGCTGGCACTAGACAGGAGCTAAGTACATTACTGAAAAATAACCACTTACAATGGTGTCCCCACAACCCGTTCATTTTTCATGATTAGTTGGTGCTTGTTAAACGGCCTCGTGTATCAACAGCAAACTGTGATGTAATAGAGTAATGGAATCATGTGAAACAGAGTAATGAGCTAAAGTTTGTGGTTTGTTGAATGATCAGTATTTTATTTCCCTTCCCAACATGTACCCAACCTGCACCCCTGGAAAAACACTAGGTGTGGAAGTTCATATTGGAAAACAAAGAGACTTTACTCACATATATGTTAACATCGGCGTTGATGTTGTATAGGCCATAAATTGTCTCTGGCGATGTGAGGATAAGGTTCATTGGCTTGGCGTTGTTCAACTCAAGAGAGAATACCTTATCCTTCTGAGAAGAAAAAAAAAGAAAAGAAAAACATTTGTCACATACAGTGTTTACAGTTTCACTCAATTAGCTGCAGATTCAGCGCTGCTGAAGTTCACACCTTCTGTTTTTGCATGAAAGCGAAATACTGTGGAGTTTATGATTGTGTTGGATGCAGAGACAGTCTGGCAGTGGTGGAAATCTCCAGGTGGAACACTGGGATTAGGAAGACAGAGAAATCAAGCGGCACAATAATTCACTTACACCATGAAGCCATCCATATGGGAGCTACTGTGCAGCTTATAATGAGTTTTTTTTTGGTAAGTTTACCACGCTGAGTGTATGCTGTGTTATACTAACAAAGCAGTCAAATCAAAAAACAAAAACCGTATGCTAGGCAAGGACACATTTATCTTGCAGTCTGTGTCAACTGGGAATATAATAGCTATCATGAATCCCTATTTGGGATCAATAAATGCAGATGATGAAAAATATCCACTAATGATGTGATGTGAAGAGAAACAGCCTTTATGACAGGCTCCATTAAAATGTAATATTTTGCCGAGATTCATAGGTTACCACGAAGATTAAAAATTAAAAACACCATAAATATGCAATTTGAGCATTTCATAAAGTGTGACAAAAACGCATGAGATCTTTGGAAAACTAAGTCATATGTCCCAAACAAATATAGCGTTGACAAAATTACAGTTATTCCCCAATTTGCAAGCCTCCCCATCTGGCACGGCGCGTCATTAAATGAGAAGACGTCGAGTTGACGCAGTAGAGAGACATTTTGCTTGCAGCACCAAGTTTAAAAATAGTTCCAACCACAATTTAATTCTGTACAAGTTTGAGTCCTTTTGCTACACTATTGCAAAATATCAGTGGGTGATATGACAATTATCCTTGTTTTTGCAACTATGAAATGTCAACACATGCATCTCTCCATAAAAAGCAGTGCCAGTCATTTAAGGAGGGTTCGCAGATAGGCAGGAAGGAAGCTAGTCTTTGCTGTCTGTCTCCTGTTTTGACACATTAATGAGGTAACGCAGCGCGCTTCTATAATTACATCTCTATGCCGCACACAAAACATGGTAAACAAGTCAAAAGCAAGTCAAAAGCTATCAAAATTAATTATTTATCTGATGTGCAATGTGCTGCATTTTTGAAAAAAAAATCAAGTTGTTTGTCTTTGTAGCATTAAAACTGCGGGAAACAGTGTTACAATATGAGTAAGTATAACCATGCTCTAACGTTAAGAAAAATAATAACAGTAATAATAGGAATTTGGAGAAACCTATTGTGTTATTTGAGATACAGTATTTTTTTGATCATTTTATGCATTTTTTTAACTTGCGACCTAGTGTATTCTCATACATGGCTAACCCTTACTGTTTTTACTGTATATACTGTATATATAAACTCAATTACATAATTTAACACATAATGTAATACCTCATTAACCATATTTTCAGGGTAACAGATTCGCTAATCACCACCACAGTCACTCTATGAATCAGCCTTAATTACCATGCTCCACATGTGCGTGGGGTAAAGCTGGCACAGTTGAGTTTTATGGATGTAAGTGGTGGTGAGTAAACCTTTTCACAGCAGAATAATAAGTCTGAATTTAGAGACTTTTTTTTCCCAAGACTGACTTAATTTCAATAAATCCTACTTCTAATTACATTTTACTTCTGTAATAGCCCCAAGATAATTGGGTTTAGAAAAGTGGAAGAGTCATGGATTTGAAATCTTTTGTGACTCAATGCATTAGAAATGAACAACTGCTTTAAAAAAAAAAGCAGCTTGGAAATATCTCCAGAGTGAGACTTTTGTGGAAATTTAACATTCATAAATACAAATTTCTGCTTTCATCCATCATGCCTTTTGACACCAAATAGTTTTTCTATTATATTTGAAGCTAGATTGTTTTTCAGTGCAGGGCCTGTTGGGGAGACAATGAGCATGCTGGGGAAACAGTGTGAATCCCTAATATTAAATTAATTTACTTGCTTCCTGATGTTGTGTTATCCAAGAGAATTGTGATTAGCTCATGCCTGAGTGATGAAAAATTTTCAGACCCCTACAGAACAAATTAGGTCTAAGGAGACTATCCACAAATTGCATATGCACAAAGCACAGATGCATTTGAAAGAGACTCTCGCATGCAGAGTACAATGGACAGAGGGACCTGCCATCACACGCACACACACACACACACACACACACACAATCATGTCTCCATGACTTCAAAGGACTTACATTCATTTTCTGGAGACTTACTCTAACCTTAACCATGTACTTGCCTAACTCTAAAACATGTCTTCACTTTAAAATTTACTGATTTGCATTATGGAGACTGACTTTTTCTCCCCCAACATGAGTAATACCTGGACCACGCACACACAAACATACACACACAGGCTGCGGCACCTCATAAATGTCTTCAGTCCCTTCTTTTTTTTTTTTCAAATATTGGCCAAAGGGGGCACTGCAATCCCAGGTGAGAAGATGGTGACATTTGTTTCAGAACATGAAAATAATAATAATTGCCAAGAGAGCCGAAGGGGAATATAACATCTAAAGCTGTTGCATATTTAAGTGCTGCACTCTGTCCATCCTAATAGCATAACACTCATATCTGTTCTCTCGTTTGAGGCAAAAACAGACTCTTATTTTGAATTTCCGTGACACATCCTAAAGAAAATAAAACAGCTTGGAAAGACAGAGGGGGTGAAGGTGCAGACAAATGGACTGGTGGACTGAAATTGTCTGGGACTTTGGGAAAGATGACCAAGAAATATGAGACAATACCGTCCATGTTTCCATTTGTCTGTGCCTATGCATGTATAATGTGTGTGATACGGTGTGGATGTGGTAAAAGGAGCCGCAGGTAATGACACTTTGATAAGGTACTTGCTTTCCATCTTCAGTGCAGAACATTTACTTTGAAAAAAGAAAAAAAGAATATAGGTTGATTTCCCAGGAGACAGACATGAGTCTCCACTTATCACAAGCTGAGTCTGAGAGTCTTTGAATGGTAGAAACACAATGTCTTCCCAGAAATACTTTGACTTTGTTTTTACCTGAATCGTGTTGCACGGACATACAGTAAATGAATGAACGGCATTTCCTACGGAATTCATTATGCTTCATACAGAGATAACTCTGTGGTGTTTTCCTTATATACTCCTCCGACGAACTTCATTGTCTCTCTGTCTAGTTTTCCTTCCTTCATCCGTTTGTGACTTTCATTCTTTAATTTTTAACCCTGCATCATGACTGTTGCTGACCCTGATCACTCACCTTTGCTACTTTTGTTCCTGTGCTTTCAAGATACAATTGTTTTCCTTTTCAAACTTTCCTTTTTTTCTCGGGAGCATTTTTTGAAGGGCCTTTGCTGATGCAGTTTCCAGTTATTCTTTTGGCTCTCTCCCTTTACTTGAATTGGCTCCGCTGGTCTAGTCTCGGCCTTGTGCCAAGACCCTGACTACCCAAGCCAGTGTGTGACATCAGTGGGCCGTGTACAATCAGCTCCTCCCTATGAATTCTCCTGGCCTGTGCAGCCCCTTGATGCTCCCTCTATAATTCTCTGTGTGGTCAAACTGTGAGAGTCAACCGTCTCTGGCAGGTAGTAAATCAGTATGAAAACAAAGGGATGGGGAAGGAGGTGATAAGAAAATTCAAAGGACAAATGAGACATGGGAGGCAGAGCTCCCATTTGACTGGGCAGTTTGGCAAGGGATTAAGATGTTCCCCTTCCTCTGTGTTTACAAGAAAAATCTGTTCTGCACAGACAGTCAAGAGCAGATAAGAGGTCTGTGTGAAGAGATCTTACGTCCACTTTCTTCTTTCATTTGATAAAACATCTACTCATCGTCCCACTAGAGAACAGGATATGCTAACTCTGTACAATGTCCACTGCATCACACACATCCAAAGTCAAATTCCTTTAGTGAACTCCCACAAACTCCACATCAATTTATACCAATCTGTCAGACAACTTCTTTCACTCTTTCTATAAACTTTTTTTGGCACTGAAATGTGTCTTTTTCTACACTCCCCCACAGCATAATGTATCTGGTTTCACTCTTCAGGCCTAATAAGATGACTGAGAGGAGCAATTCCCTCCTAATATGCTTTAAATCTGTTTTGTCATCAAACAGCCTTTTCCTCTGATTTCCAGTCCATTAAATATGCTGTGAAATTTCAGTCCATTAAATGAGACTAAAGACTTGGCAAAAGATCCCAGCAACATTTATGCCAGTAGCCCCGTCTTTGAGGCAAAGACAATCATCTGCTTGCACAATGTCAGCGCACTTACTTAAAACAAAACTAAGTAATGAAACACACCTCTTCGAGACCTGGGCGTCTGAGATTCAGTTATGTTAATGTGTCCTTGTGTAGCATAAAACTTAAAACATCTTAAAACATCAAATTCAAAAGAATTTATTCTGTAAGAAAAGTACTCAAGCTGTAGAAGTCAGCTTAGCTTACTGGTGAAGGTTTCCCTTAAGAGAAAAATTCTGACAGGACTCTCTAAAGCTTTCCTAAGCAACTTAAGGAAAGAACCTTTTATTAATTTTACAGAGGTAATGGATTCAGGCAGGCATCGTATTGCACCATCCTGTGACGGGGTCTTAGCTAGAGTGCACATAGCACATCAGCTTTGCTCCTCATAATCACCACCAAATGAGGAAGAACGACCAACAGAGTGAAAAATAAAAACAGACAATAAAACAGCACTTGCTTAACACGAGTTATGTGAGAGTACTACATAAAGAACTGTAAGTGAGAACAAAAAAAGAAGCAGCAAGCAAACAGAGCATACTGATAAAGAAATGACTAATGTGAGCTGACCGACACTGTTGGACAGTGAAAAATGGTGTCTGGCGCAGCAATAACAACATACAGATTAAAAGTTTTCTGGAGTTACTTTTTGGTGTCATTCCCCTTAAGCTAAAAGTTTTACAATCAAAATGACCCAATGCACTGCTGTTTGTTTAGCTGAAAAAAAAAAGAATCCTTTGAACAAACAGCCAAAGCAGTGCTGGGCTGTTATATTAGTGTAAAAAAACAAAAAAGAAATGTTGGGAAACCCTATCTTTCTGTTATGTCTGGCATCTGTTCATGGTTAGCTGGTTATTTGGCTGACAAAGGCTGGGCATGGAGTGTGTGTGTTTACATTTTTTTAAGTGTTTGTTTCAAGGTCAGGGTTGTAGAACAATATTAAATGTACAACAGTATGCAACATAAAACCAAAGTAAAGATAAATGTATGCCAACAAAATCATATTACATACATTCATACATCAGTTGCTTCGCTCTTCCTTCTTGCCTAATCTGTGCGCGATGTGCACGCTAACCTCTCATTATTTCAAATCTGCCATTTTTCTCCTTGTTAGGTTTCCCGCTTGAGCTCATCACATGACCCACTCACCTGCCTACCAAGCTGCGCCTCATTTGCAATTAGCCTCAGTCTACAGTATTTGCTTTACCACAGCAGGCAGCAGGCTGGAGGCACAGGGAAACAGTAAGTCTGGCTCTTTCCAAAAATTTAAAAATGCTGACTAATTAAGACACCTTGTTTTTACCATAGTTGACCACACTAGGCTTAATCTTAATTTTTTTTAAAGAGATGTGTAATCTGTCGTTGGCTGTGCCACATTTGAATGCTCTGGCGCAATCTGACAGAGCCTCCAACTGTGTAGATAAAAGTAAACATTAAATTCAGCATTATGCTCCAAGCTGCTTCCCCATGTTTGTAGCTGTGAGCGACATTATTTCATCAACGGAAAGGTGTGAAATGCATAACAACGTGAACACATGTGCAACGCATTGGACTGGCACACTGCTTCTTTCTTCTTTTTTTTGGGGCGTACTGTACTGTCAGCTGAGAAAGGATTAGCAGACAAATAAGATGGGATATAACCTAGTGAGAAGATTTCATTTGCCTGTTGAATTTTACTGCAAATAGTTAAGCAAGCAAGAGTGTTGTATGTGTTATCCCTTGTCAAGCGGATTTTTCACTTATTGACATTTACACAATTAGCAGGGATTGCTCAGCATCTGATTTGTATAACCTTGACATGCTTACCATGGCGGCCAAGTTCAGGATATGGACCTCTGTGTTGTCCTCTGCGACGAAGCTGGTCCAACAGCCAATTAGCATCTCTCTCACGTGGAACCATGGGTTGTCGTTAACCTTTTTTGGCTCACATGTCTGACTTGAGGCTAAAAGAAATCAAGTAGAAATGGTTAAGCAGTGTCAGCAGCATATAATCAAGTCACAGTAAATAATGTCTTGCCTCCAGCATTAATGTGGAACTTCTTGCATTACCAAGTCTTATGTGTCAAATGCCAAGTAGTGCAAGATTATGGCTATATCCATAACAATCTTGCCATATGTGGACACGAGCAGCACATGAATGAAGACCTATATGTGTGAAAGCCAGAAAGCCATTATTTAACAGACAGATGAACCCAGCTATGTTACAGATTCCTTGTCTAAAAGGGGCTAGATTTGTTATTAGTCATTATGAAAGCTCCTTTCCCTGCTCTCAGAGTATGGATGTTAAATGTGTGGGTAGGACTACATTGTTTAAAAACGGATCTGCTGGTTCACGTTTATCAGACGTGTCAGGATAGCGGGCTGCAGTCATCCATCAAGCCTGCTCACTCTGCTCTCTGCTATGAGCCTGCTGTTTAACCTGGGGATCCGTGTCTCAGGAGGCTGAATTAATCGAGCCGAGGCTGTGCGGTCATGGATGAGGTTGGGTATAAATGCCTGCTGTTTGACCTGTCTAAGTTATATGTGTGT